TTAGCCAATAATCACTTATTCCGGGATTTGACTCATTTTCAAAATAATTTCAGGTTTTAGGAAATCTTTTCATTTTATAAAATAGAGCATTAAATTTAAGAAATAACGTCCAAAACGACACTCAAAACGGACTTACGGTTTGAAAGTTATGAATTTTCAAAGTTTAACATTTTTCAAAAAGTTACAGCAGAACCCGGTTCCTACATATGCAGGAACCGGTTCCTGCGAAGTTCAAAAATCACGCTTCTGGAAAAATGTATGGGAACCCGGTTCCTACGTGCATTTTTGCCAGTTTTTATAAATTCACACAGTGGAACCCGGTTCCTCCCCACTGGGAACCGGTTCCCACGACCTGCAGAGTCAAATTCTACACTTTTGACAGCATTTATTCATTCTAAACCAATCCCAAACATACCCATACGAATTGCAACATGAGAAACACCAAAACACATCCATTTTGCACCATTATAACATCAAACAACATTATTTCATCATTCCTTTATATCATCTGACACCCCAATGGTTTTCAACCTACAATTCGACGCAATAGGGACAATTCTACGGAACCCTAGAATTCCAAACCGGGATTCCCTAACATACTATGATCTATACTATTGAATATCTAAATCGATAATACAAATTAACTAATCGAAATCACCCCTTACCTTGTGGGTTCTTCGAATTCTGATGCTTCCGGTTTTCTCCTTCTTTTTCCTCTTCTCAAATGCACGTATGATGAATATTCCAAAATAACTCTCTTTCTCTTCTTTTTCCTTTTTAATACTCCTTTTATTATTCCAATAAAATAATTAAATTAGTAATTAGTAAGAGTAGAGTATTTTACCCCTCACACCCTCTAATCACTCTTCACACCACCAATACTTCTTTCCTTTAATTAATTAAATTAATTCCAATAATCCAAAAATACCAATAATTAAATTTCCAATTAAATTAATAATTAAAAAATCTAATTATTTAATAATCGGATTATTTATGGTGTCACATGGGACGTTTTAGCAATATTGTTTAAGGAGTAGATCGTTTACCGAAGGCAACATTGAGGGTCATCGAGGGACTACGATCTTTTATCGAGGGTCTTTGCTAAAACGCCCATGTTCGAGGGACATGACTATTTTTTCCAATAGGAAACAAGTGAGATTACCCTAAGGTGTGCTAGTGTGCAAGTGTGTTTGATTGCATGCATTTAGTCTTGATTAGGGTTATCTAGCGATTGATTTTTGAATCTTGCCATGCACGCCTAATTACTATACAGTATAAGGAAAACAGTAAATTGCGGAAAATAAAATTTTACACTATTACAAAGTTTTCGGGAATGGGGGTACATATTTACAAATGGGGATTGCAAATAAAATTAAATCCTAAGTTACTATTACAACCATATTGAAATGTACAATGTAAGAGAGAAAAAGGATTTATTTAAAAAATGGTTTTTTTGTCTTAATGAATTAAGAAAAAAGAAATAAACTAATTAATAAAAAGAAAATATTTTTATGTCTTTCTATGTTAATAAAAAGGGAGTTAATATTAAAAATGATAAAAAGGAAAATAAATGAAAGATAGAAACAGCTTGCTGCTGCAAGCGAAACAACAAGGATCAGAAGTTCTAAAGTCAGGCGCGTGATGACTCAGAAAGGAACGTCAGTAGAATCAGAAGTTCTGGATTGATACACTCTGAGGTCCTGCATTAGAGGGAAAACACAGAAGTTCTGGGTTACCATGTGCTAAACTTATGAGTGTTAGAACAATGAGAAAATCTTAAAAGTTCTGTGTATTAAAAATGTGAAGAGAACTCAGAGGTTCAGTATATGCTAAGACAGTGAGTGAACATCAGAAGTTCAATGTGTTTTAACAGCGAGTGAATATCAGAAGTTCAGTGTGTTTAAACAGTGAGGGGAACTCAGAAGTTCTGTGTTGTGCTAAAACTATGAGTGAACATCAGAAGTTCTATGCCACATTTCAGCTCTTAATCAACACATCAGCAATTTATTCAGTCCTTAACAGCAAATGAGGAGAATAAAAACACAACAGTTTATAGAAGTTCTAATCCTAATTCTGAGCCTAGCCTTAATCAAGAAGTTCTGATCCACAGTTTTTCTACTTATGCAATGATATGGATAACATCAATACTGTGATATTTACATATTTAATGATGTTCTAAATGAAAATATGCAAAGTCAGAAAGACTTACCTTGAATCTGGAGCGTGTGTTTGGAACTTGAACTGCTGCCTTCAGATGTCCTGGAGTCAGCAAGAGCAACCGGAAAGAAAATGCCAAGTTCTTTGATTCAAAGGGAAGAACAAAGGTTCAGTTTTTTGTTTGGAAATTCTAGATTTTTTTATGAAGGTTTCACAATTTTCTTTTCTCTCTTTTGACTATTTTCTCTCCCAAAAGACCATCCCCTTAAAAGTGTGATGGAGCAACTTATTTATAGGTGAATTTATTGTGGTTTTGGGGGGAAAACAAATGGGATTTAAACTTTTTGGCACATTGTTCCATTGCTTTTTGATCACAGTCTTCGTATGCTAGTTTGGTGCAATTATGGGATGCAGGAGTAGGCTGAATTAGCTGTTGGTTATAGGACTGTGTTATAGCAGTGCAGCAGGTTGTATAAACAAGGTTTTGGGATTTGGTCATGTTCTAACCAAAGCATTGAATATAGCCTTCATATGCTAAGGTGTTGCCATGTTCTTGAAGCAAGTATGGTGGTTAGCAGCTTTTAGCCATGCCTAAGCTGGGTTTGTAAGCGTGAATTAAGGAAGAGTACCCTCAGAGGCAAAAGCAAAGCATAGGCTCAGCATACTTTTGTACAAGAGTTTGCTTTTCCAAGACCGTAATGGTACTTCTACGCCATACGTGGGGAAATCCTTTGGACAAAGACCCAGGATTGGTTGTGGGCATTAAATGATAATGAGATTGATCAAACCAGAAATCCTGCAACGTGAGATTATGCACCATTGCTTAATTCTGGATCAGAGGTTCAACTTCAGCGTAACTTAGAATAGACATCTAACTTCTGATCTTTGTATCTCCTTGCTCCAACATGTTCTGAAGGAGATCTCAGACTTTCCAGGAAGCTTGCAACACGCTTTGTAAACCTTTTTTGAACTACCCTTGCAAACTCTTCCTGAATCTTTGTGAAAACTGGCCCAAAAGTTGTAACCAAACTCTGTCTTGGAACTGTCCAGAATTTGCTGAGTGCTTCAGTTTCATGGACGTGTCTTTGAGGAGTCATAACTTGAAATCCCAACATTTCTAGGATAAGTTTTGTTCTGTAATGTTTCAGATCTTGTTTGAGTCCATAACTCTTGTGTTAGAAGTTAATCCAGAGTTAGCTTGCATCATGGTGATAGTCTGATCAGAAGTTCTGAGCTTGTCATATTTCTTAAACACTTAGAAAAATTCTAAGTATTTAGAAATTTGATTTTTCCAAAGTAACCTTTGACTTTTGAATTTCTAGATGAAACAAACTTCATATCTCAACATGTCTTGATGCAATATGACTCTTGAAACTTGATTTTGATCAAAAGTCAAAGTTTGACTTTTCAATGCGCAAATGACCATTTTACCTCCGTGAATGATTATCTTGGAAAATTTGTAGATCCAGGCTTGAAATTGGAGGGGAGCAAACCTGAGGATCCAGGGTTATCCTTTGAGAAACGAGAGGGAAAATGTTTGGGTACAACACTTATCATCTCTCATACTAAGCAAAGGCACGATTCTCATCAGTAGTTTTAAAGTGTTTTGAAATTTTCAAAGAAAAGGAAGTTTTTGTTTTAAATGCATATGCAAAAGGGGGAAAAAGTCAAAGGGAAACTAGCTTATTTCTAAACCTAGTGTTATTATGGATCATGGACCTAAAATTGGAATTTCGAAGGAATTCTACATAATGTTTGCATTCTTGGATTTAAACGCCTAATGTCTAATTTTAGTTCAATTAAATTGAAGATTGAATTTGAACCAAAATCACCTAAGGGATCATGAAAGACTATACAAACAAGCGAAATTATGCAGCAAGTATCAAAGTATTGCATACAATCCACACCAACAATCGCAAACGAAATGTATGGCATAAAAATGAACAAAACTAATTATTAAAATTGGCTAAAAGTTAGCAAACGGGGAAATAAATCCCTAATTAATTTCTAAAATATCTCATAATATTTTTATCATTTTTACTATGTATTTTGTTATAAAAAAATGGAAGAAAACAACTAAAAAAATTATAAAAGGGAATTAAAAGAATCAGGTGATAAATTCAGAATGAGGAGTGTGAAATCCAATGCAGAGATTGTGGATCGAAATTGGCCCTAAGCCCATACAGTCTTGGATCCAAACCTGTTTCCCTTTTTTTATTCTTTTAGGCTGTAAAAAAAACATGGGCCTATAGAGGGGGATTGGCCCAATTCAAAAAAAAGATCCAAACCATTGTTGACCACCAATCTACTTTGAAAACAAACTATCCCTAATTCTTGTTCTCTCAACTCACGCGCTTCCACGCTTCCAGAAAGGATCTTCGTTGTACCGAAAATCACCTCCGGCGGTGGCGGAGGTTAAAACAGTCCTGAATTGCCACCATTCTTTCCATCCACATGCCCTTTCTAATAATCCCAATTCGATTTCCTCAGATTCTACAAGGACAGTTCTAGATCACCATTTTCAAACGGGAAACCTAACCCTAAGAACTCAAATTAACTCGAACCTACGTGATATCGATGTAATTAGAAGAGGATTTAGATTCAACATGACACGGATTATGTCGTGATTTCAAGAACGAGTGAAAAGGAGTATTGAACGACCAACCTTGATGGAGTTAACGGAGGCTGTAAAGATGGTTTCCGGTGAAGATTGAGCTCTAGTTCAGGTACTTCTACTTCTACCCCCTGCTCCTCATTCTTCTACTTTCTTCTATTTCTGTTTTTTATGATTCATTGTTAGTGTCGATATGACGTGTATATTATGATTGATGTTTATATTTGTTATGGTTGACTCGTGGGCGTTGTGCATTCTTGGGAGTTGTAGAAGGCTGAGGTTTGAATCAAGGATGTGATGGTGGCGCTGAGAGGAAGAGAGAAATGGTGGTTATGGTAAGTTGTAAAGATAGTGATGATGGTGTAGAGAGGAAGGGAGAAATGGTGGTTATGGCTTTGAAGGCTGAAGCATGGAGAAGATGAAGATGGAACTCAGAGAGAGAGAGAGGGTGATGGAAGAAGAAGACAAAGGTTGAGAATTTTTGTGAATAATGAATCGTGAATGGTGAAGATTGTGAAGAGTGCAGAGGGTGAGGAGGAAAAAGGTTGAAGACTGTGATGATTTTCCCAGAAAAATGGAGAGTGAAGCATCAATTAGGGTAAGTCAGTTTTTATAGTTTGTTAACTGCCATCATTTTTTTGTAGTTCTGTTGAGAAGTTTGTCTTATGGTTAGAAAAATTATGTTAGGGAATGTTAGTTATAGGCTGGGAGTTTGTTATGGAGTTTGTGATGCAGTTAGGAGGTTAGAAGTTAGTTAGAGGAATCTGTTAGGAGGTTTCTGTTATTTTCTGTTTGGAATTTAGAGGAGTTAGGAGATATTAGGGAGTTGGTTGGAAATTCTGTTTAGGTTTGGTTATAGATTGACAATTAGGGGTTGTTAGAGAGCAGTTAGGGTAGTTAGGGAGATAACATTCTGTTAGAAACTGTTAGGGGGTTTGTTATTGGAAGTTAGTTTGGTAAATTGCTAGAATTCAGTTAGAATTTTGTTTGGTGGTTATGTTAGAAGTTGGTTGGGTTTAGAAAAGGCAATTAGGGATAGGTTAACTGGATTTAGAAAAGAGGTTAGGGAATTCAGCTGACAGTTTGTAGGGCTGTTTGGAATTGGTTGGGTGATGTTAGGGAATTGGTTAAGAGTTTGTTTAGAAATCTGTTAACTTTCTGTTTGGACTGTTGGTTGGAAGCTGTTATAGGTAGTTAGTTAGTGAGGTTAGAAGTTGGAAATTCTATTGGGAAATTGGAATTATATTATGCTTCAATTAGAGGAAGTTGTTTAACTGTTTAGTTTTCCGTTACTTTGAATTCTATTTCAGATTTTCTTGCTTTTCTATTTTCTATTTCTGATTTTAACCTGAATTTCATTTTTCTGAACTCTGAACTGGCACACGAGTGATCTTGTTCATGTTCTAACATGACATAGCCTTTGTAGCAGCATCTTCAGTAGAGCCAAGAGCAACAATTTTCTTTACCATACTGATGATACCCGAATCTGGTATGTGAACTTGTAATGAGTTCAAATGGTATGCTACCTTATAATTATGCTCTGTTAACTTCTTTCTTTTGAATTAATGACATGAAGTGAAATGAGCATGAACATGGCATGTTTGGGAGGTTGGCACAGTGATGATGAATGCTCGCAGACTGTGATAAAGACGCGCGAGGAGGTGAAGATGGTTAAAGCAGTAGATCAAGATCAATAGAGATGATGAAGAGATCAAGAGTATGCCGGCTGCAGATGTTCTGGGTTTGAAGATTTTTTGGTAACTTCTCTCCTTCTCCCTTTCTATTTCCCATCTCTTCCGTGGTCTCCCTTGAATAATCGTATCTAATTCCCCCTTTGCATTTGTGGAAATTTATGTTATACAGTCTGGAACATTTGTTATAGAATCAATCAATCTAAGCCCATGAATTGCGTTAGTTTGGTACATAATTAGCAGTGAGATTTGATGGCAGTTATGAAGCGATTAGAAGTTAGGATATGTTTTGAAGTTGTTATCTAGGCTAAACCATTTATAGTTAGTTGTTCCAGAAACTGTTAGGAGATTACGCATGTTGGTAAATTGGTTTAACAACTGACATTTTGTTATTGTTTTTTGTTGCAAGTTGGTTTTTTTTCCTCATTCTGAACTGGTGCTTGAACTGATGTAGTGACTGTAGAGTTTGAACGGGCTGCTCACTAATTCTTATATGCATCGTGACTTGGAATGGTCTCTCGAAGCATGATTATTTATGTGAATAGCTTCATAGTATTTGATGTTTTTTCCTTTAATTATGCAGGTCTGGTTTATGTTATAACAATAGGTTTGGTTTATGTTATAACAGTAGGTTTGGTTTCGGCATGGTGTACATGACATGGAAGTCTCAACAAGCGAAGAAGTGAAGAAACTTGATGGAATAATCACAAGATAGAAGCTTGAAGTTAGACTTTAGGTTTAGAACATTGTAGCTTTTTTTTTTTGTATTTGTAGTGAAATGTAATGTATAAATGAATTTGGTAGTTATGTGCATATATGTGTAAGCCTTTTTGAATGGCATATTGTACTGGTGTATTCGTGGTTTTTTCCCAAGGTTATTTGTAATGGTTTGAATGATGGATGTTTAATGTACTGGATGTACGGTTGAGTCCTGTGATGTACTTTGGATAATGTAGTGGAAACTGGCCTTGAAACATATAATGAAATGGTTCCTTCTTCAACTTCAAGCTTGAGAACTCTTCCCTCCTATTTGCATTTAATTTGAATATTTCAAATATTTCCTTCAATTTGCACCATTTGAATGAATAGCACCAATATGGGATGGAAACCAAAAGCAAACTCATTATAGGATTTGGTAAAAAAGTCAACCTCTCGTGGTTGACTTTGACCAAAATTTTTTTTTAACAAAGGACTTCCAACTTAGAAATGATTCCAAAAACTCGACATAAAACTCCAAGTTCTTTAAAGAATGCCTAAGCAACGACTTGCCACACGAGTAATAACCATAAACTGGTCCTTTTTTGATGAATAGTGGACAAATAAACTCATATTCTTCATTTCTCATCCAAGAACCAAAGATTATACCATGTATCTCAAGCGACAGAATGAACACTTGAACTAATGAGAGATAGACCCTCGTACGCGGTCCCAATGCACATATTGTCATGACAAAAACCCTTTCTTAATCGATGAACCCCTCATAGTAGTAGATGTCTTGATTCAAAGACCATATAGGAATCAATGTATACACGTTCAAACAAGTGATTAGAGAATTCTTCAGATGAAGATTGAACTTGAGATATGGAGAGAGGGATGCTCAAGACAGCCATTAAACAAAACCATAATCCACATGATCCTCAGTTGAAACATTTCCATGCATGGGCACAAGAGATTGGAAGCCATTGGCCTTTGATGAATATTGATGAAGATATGATCTTGTGCGTTAAGGAGACTCAAAACACTGGTATTAATACGTGCTCAATGAAAACATCAGTTGAATCAGGCTCTCTTGATACGTGAACTTTACACAATGTAGAAACCCTGATCTCAATGATTCTTGGTCCCATGCTAAACTTTACGGATACATGATGTGCAAAATGACCTAATGAAAGTTATGCATATGATAAAAATGTGAGATGCGTAAGCCATATAAAAGTGAGAGGGTAGGACAAATTTGGGGTATTACAGCTACCCCTATTTATTCGTCTTAAACCTGAAAGCATGATTGGCGCGTGCCTTTTGGAAGTTCGAGGTAGAAGATGATTAAATATCAATGCCAAAAGTTTGTTCTGGAAAGAAGTGTGCGTGCTTATTTATTTTTGTGATATCAGCTAGAATTTTTTTGTTTCCTAGTGAAGAGACGGAGATTGGACTTGTAACGTGGCGACAAAGGATAATACAAAGTGGAGGTTAGACTTACGACATGGCATGATGCCAATACAAGACAAACATTGGTACGAAAAGACAACAAATAAGGTCTACGGACAACCTACGATCCTAAGGTGAAACATGAGAGTGATTTGTCAAAGAACCTAGCCTATAGGCGATCTCAGGTTTTAAGACAAGATTTGTGGGAAGAACCTAGCCTACAGGCAATCTCAGGTTCTAAGATGATATATGGGAAGAACCTAACCAAGAGGCGATCTCAGGTTCGACACTGATCTAAGGAAGAACCTAGCCTACGGGTGATCTCAGGTTCCAAGATTATATGAGGAAGAACCTAGCCTACGGGCGATCTCAAGTTCGAAGATAATCTGATGAAGAACCAAGCTTACGGGCGATCTCAGGTTCGACACTGATCTAAGGAAGAACCTAGCCAATGGGCGATCTCAGGTTCTAAGATAAGATTTGTGGGAAGAACCTATCCTACGAGAGATCTCAGGTTCTAAGATGATATATAGGAAGAACCTAACCAAGAGGCAATCTCAGGTTCGACACTGATCTAAGGAAGAACCTAGCCTACGGGAAATCTCAGGTTCTAAGATGATCTGAAGAAGAACCTAGCCTACGGGAAATCTCAAGTTCAAAGATAATCTGATGAAGAACCTAGCCTACGGGCGATCTCAGGTTCAACAATGATCTAAGGAAGAACCTAGCCTACAGGCAATCTCATGTTCGACGCTGATCTAAGGAAGAACCTAGCCAATGAGCGATCTCAGGTTCTAAGATGATCTAAGGAAGAACCTAGCCTACGGGAGATCTCAGGTTCGATGATGATCTAAGGAAGAACCTAGCCAATGGGCGATCTCAGGCTCTAAGATGATGTAAGGAAGAACCTAGCCTATGGGCGATCTAAGGTTCGATGACGATCTAAGGAAGAACCTAGCCAAGAGGCGATCTCAGGCTTGACGATGATCTAAGGAAGAACCTAGCCTACGAGCAATCTCAGGTTTGACGATGATCTAAGGAAGAACCTAGCCAATGGGCGATCTCAGGTTCTAAGATGATGTAAGGAAGAACCTAGCCTACGGGTGATCTCAGGTTCGACGACGATCTAAGGAAGAACCTAGCCAAGAGGCAATCTCAGGTTCGACGATGATCTAAGGAAGAACCTAGCCTACGGGCGATCTCAGGTTTGATGACGATCTAAGGAAGAACCTAGCCAAGAGGCAATCTCAGGTTCGATGATGATCTAAGGAAGAACCTAGCCAAGAAGCGATCTCAGGTTCGACGATGATATATATGGAAGAACCTAGCCTACAGGCGATCTCAGGTTCTAAAATAGTGGGAGTATTGGTCATGACACGTTGATTGAAGATACGAGAATGACCAAGTTTATTCCATTTGTTGGGATTGTGAAGGTGAAGGCCATCGACTGGGGATTTCAGAAGTGATGTCCTCCCGTGGGGATGTATTATTATCCTTGAATGATTCAAGTCTTTTGTGTGAGGTACCTGATCTGGCTTACGCTTCGTATGCATGTTTGAATTTCTTTTGACGTAAAGACCCATTCTGACGGATCGGCTACGCGCTTTTGAAGATGCAATGTCATGTAATGATAACTATATGGGATGCAAAGAAATATACTTCATGGGGATAAGCGAAGGCTCTTTGGGAGCTGTTGCTCATCACTGAGGATACCAATACATATCGGAACCGAAAATCAGCAGTACCAAAGATTGCTTGGGATAGTGATAAGAATCTGCATTGGGGAGCTCATGATACCGAAAACCATTGATGATTCTGCTAGAGACTGAATTTTCATTGAAGCGAGTCTTTAGGTATGCTGCTGAACCGCTTGGCGGATGGTAGAACTGAACACCGTGTGGATATCTTTGAATACATGCCCCAAGCTTACGCCACATTGGGAAATTACCTCTTGAATCACTTGGGGATAAGATATGGGCATGGACACCTATGAATGCCTCGGTTTAGCTCTACTGGGGACGCACTTGATTAACTCCACTAGGGATGAACTTACGCGTTCCGAGTCAAACGGTGACTCCGAACTTTCTGAATTCACTTGGGGAACCAGGTTTAAAATTGTCTGTAGCAGATGAAGGCGACTTCCCGCATAGGCCAGGTCAGGGTGATCATTATAAATTTCCCCCTGCAAAGAGAAACAACACTTGTAATGCATACGACACTCCCTCATGGTTATATATCAATGTAAAGTCAAGTTTTATCTCGGCTTGAGAATTTTGTATTCTCCATGTTTCTAATGCAATGTTTAATAACAAATAAAACATATTCTGCATACGAAAAACATTTTATGATAGTAAGAGACAATTTTTTGATGAAAACAAACTTCATTAATAGGCCCGTGAATAAGCATTTGTACAAGGATGCAACTCCTATATGAGGTAGCTGAAAAATAGAAACGAAAAGTACAACAAGTATAAATGGCAATGATAGATGCTCGAATTTCCATTAAAACCGGTAATGCTACAGTTCCCATATCCTTATTAGTCTCAATGCCTTGCCTCTGAAGAGTAGCAGTTGGACTGATCAATTCGCTGCCAAGGCATCATAGATGTGCATGTGTCATTCGTGAAGAGAATTCAGACTACAACCTCTCGCTTAAGATCCCTAACTTTTTCTTGGATCGCCCTTTCGGGTTTTCGACCCAACGGGATACCCATTTTTTGCCTAAGTCGCCCTTTCGGGTTTTCAACTTAGCGGGTTATTGTCTTTTTTCATTTTATCCCTAATTTTTTCCTGGACTTTCATTCCACCGGGATGCCCATTTTTGCCTAAGTCGCCCTCCGGGTTTTCGACTTAGCGGG